CCTTGTCTCCACCCGTGCGGGCAGTCGGGGTCTGCTAAGAGGGCTAAGAGCCTTTGGCTTACATCAGGGAGTAGCCCTGACCAGAAAACCTCAATTGTTCTTTTGCCTTTAACGGTCCCACGTGAAGACTCAGACCAAGAATAAAAGGAAGGAGGAAAGGAAAGTTTGCAATACAGAGTATTGAGAAAATTACAAGACCAGACCTTCCTCTATGTAACTAACACAACCATCAAGCATACATACCACATTAAATCACATTTGTGTGGACCGGTCCTTCTTTCATTCAGACACACGCTGCACCCACCATTCTCACTTTTGGGATCCCTGTACACAGACACAGACAATACACAGAACAGAGAATCCCCGGTGCGTGCTTCTTAACTCAAGAACTGAAAGTACAGAGTGGGAGGGGAGTAGCCAAGCCAAACTCCCTTCTTCTCCCAGGGGAAGGAAGGCTACGCCATCTTCCCCACTCCAGACCACTCTGGTCCTTAAGGCCAGAGTGTCAGAACCAGGGGCCTCTGGGCACATCAGCCACTCCCACTGGTTTCCAGAATACAGACTTACAGGTCCTGCACAGGCACAAATGTTCAGACAGAACGTTCCTAGAACAGGAAATGACTTACAGACATTAAGACCAAGACAAACTACAAGACGTCCTTACCTCCTGGTGATCTGAGGAAATGGGTCTGGGGGCAACCGAATCCTGGACGAGCCCCCAAATGTAGGACCCCCAGGCTGGGGTACCCAACGTCCACGGGAGGCCGCACCCCAACAACTCAGTCCTCAGACCAGGAGATGCAACAAGCAAGAGGATTTAATCATTTGCGCAGACAGGCTCCTGCCTCACTCGGAGAGAGAGAACAGTAGCCCCAAGCTCAGCTTACAGGTGACTTTTAAAGACAAAAACCACAAACCACAACAGGCAGCAGTGGGAGGGGGCCGGCAGCAACCGGCAGCAGTAGGAGGGGGGAAGTTTCGGGTGATGTCCGGCTTTGTGCACGGAGCATGAAAAGGTCAGCTTTGTGTCAGTAGTTAGGATTTTGCATCTTACTTCCTTATACAGTTTCCCCGAATATTCTTCCTTTGGGGGGGATTTGGTTTGATTCCATCACACAAACACACACATAATTTTTTTTTTAATCTTTAAAAACAGGAGATCCTGGCATAGTGTCACACACATGCCTTTAATCCCAGCACTTGGGAAGCAGAGGCAGGTGAATCTCTGAAATTGAAGTCAGCCTAGTCTACTTAGCTAGTTCTGGGCCTACAGGGAGATGCTGTCTCAAAAAAAAGGACTCAGCAATAGGAAGAATAGCTAACCACTAATAATGTGAATATAAAGCTATCTGTCATAAAGAAATCAGGATCAGTCTGTTATCTGTTACTATCTATTGAATGTTAACTATATGCTAGGCTACACCCAGGCTGGCCTAAACTTGTGATCCTCCAGCCTCTACTTCTTCAATATATCCTGAAGGCAACTGGCTGTTTTTGTTTTGGAATTAAGGTTTTTTGGAGCTCAAGCTGATCTCAAACTTGGCTACAGAGCCAAGATGACCATGAATTCATAACCTTTTCATAACTATTCACAAATCTATAAACAAGTAAAGTTACATGAACATTTTAAATTTTATTAAATTGAATTTTTGTGTATTTCATACAAATTATCTTACTCATCTTTATGCTGCTATGAACATTTTTGCAAGGCTTATGTATCAATGTAAATTTTCAATTTGTATCTCATTTTCCAATGAGCATTTCAGGGATAATTAGTGGAACTAAATATCTCTTCTTAAATTGTAAACTCCAAGTTTCTTCTTTTCAGATGGAGCTATTTTGGGGCTGGAGAGATGGCTCAGCGGTTAAGAACACTGTTCTTGCAGAAGATCCAGGTTTGAATCCCAGCATCCACATGGCAGCTAAGGCAGCTAACAACTGTCCATAACTCCAGTTCCAGGGGATCCGATGCCCTCTTCTGACCTCAGGGGGCATTGCACAACAGGGGTGCACTTACCTACATGCAAGCAATACAGGCATACACATAAAATAAAAAAAAGAAAATACAAAAATACAAAAAAAGGAGCTATTTTGCACATTTTTTTTCTATTGAGCTTTTTTTGTCTTCCTAGGTTGTAAGAACTAGAGGTTTGTGTGTGTGTTTTCTCTTTGTTTTTTCAGTTAGTTGTTTTGGTATATATGTATGATGTGTATGGTGGGCACATATGTACTATGTGATGTTTATGATGTATGTCTGTATGATGGGCACATATCTACTATGACACGTGTGGAGGTAGGAGAACAATGCTGTGTTAGTCATTGTTTTCCCTTGTTTTGAGGCAGTCTAGTTGGTCCATGACCTTCCAAGCTTCCTGCAATTCCTGTTTTGCCTCCCATCTGGTAGGGGCATACCAGGATCACAGAAGCTTGCACTATTGCTGTGTCTTGCTTTTTTACACAGATTCTAGGGATCAGAACTGATTAGCAAGCACTTTACCACTGAGCCATCTCAGAAGCGTACATACCATATTAAATCACATTCATATGGACCAGTCCTTCTTTCATTCAGACACATGCTGCACCCACCATTCTCACTTTTGGGATCCCTGAACACAGACACAGACAATACACAGAACAGAGAATTTCTTGGCATGCGTCCCTTAACTCAAGAACTGAAAGTACAGAGTTGGAGGGGAGTAGCCAAGCCAAGCTCCCTTCTTCTCCCGGGGGAAGGAA